GTGCCTTCGGCCGCCTGGCTGAGGGGCTGGTGCTTGAGAGAGGGTGGACAGGAAAGCGGCTTCCCTCGCAGATGGCCCTGATTCACCGCCACGTTCGCTCAATCGTCTCACCTGTTGATGTGAAAAATTTAATACGAAATTTTCTTTCTCTTAATAACTGTTCTTTTTATTATTTACAATGATTATTATTATAAAAAGAAAAAAAAATAAATAAAAGATCGATAGATTTCTCTTGAAACGTATCGTACAGATATCACAATAATAGTCAGCTGATCCTAAAACACACGCATTAAAAATACATTATCGAGGAAGGGGATGCGGTTTAAGCGTATAATCGTCGTACCTGTGATGCGGTTATACCGGAAGTACATTGCGGTGTCGGTAGAGAATGCTTCCTCGTTTCTCTCCAAGGGGACAATAGATAAGGATTCAAGGATGGCGAATCGGGATCCATGCATCGTGGAGGCGATTCGTTCCTCCGCCATTCCGCTTCCTCCTCCCCCAACGTGCTTTCCTCCACGATGATCTGTGGCTCGCCACAACTTCCGGTGCTCAAATTCGAGCTGTACGATTGCTTTCTCATCTTGTTTCGAAGAAACTCCCGTCTAAAAATAAGAAAATTTTCGTCACTGATTTTATTCGAATCGAAGACATGTTATATTGATCCCAATCCATTTTTCCTACAAATGTAATAATTTATATTTGCTCGATTCTTTTTTTTAAATAAATGACACGTAATTTTTTGTCATTGATACGTGAGTTTTGTGAAATATGAAGGGAGAAAATATTGTTTTTATTTTTAACGTTCTACATTTCACTTTTTTTCCCACAGTACTTTCGCTTTAGTTGTGCATTGCGGAGTTTTTCGCCTGTTAAAAACAGATTGCGCAAACATGCACATGCATCACGTGCTCGGAATAAATGTTGCGAGTCGATATTCTCTTTCGGTTAAATCGCTCTCGTTATTTTTCGTCTCGAAATGTATCTCTCTGTACATGTTATATCAGTGTATCAATATCAAAAAATCAAAGTTCGCGATTTTATTTCTCTCTCTCTGGAATTAATATTTCATTTCTCAAATATCCTTCAAAAATTGAAGAATAATTTTCAAATTTCTACTTCAACCCCATTTTCTTCACCCATCATTTTCCGTTTCCATTGCATTTCGAATATTTCAATATATTTTATTACAATAAATGTAAAAAATATATATATATATATTCGTGAATGTTAAATTTGGAAAGTTTGACAGTTCCATGCATTAAAAAGACGTGGAATTCCGGAAAACAAGATCGTCCTTTACGTGGACGACGATATCGATTCGACGTTGTGCACGTATGATTTATTTTCGTCGATAAAATCAGGCAACTATCGCTAATCTTTTCTTCACGGATCATCGAGCCGAATGATTTCTTTACCTATAAAGGGAGTGAAAATTTGAGGCAACCTATACTTAAAACTTCATTCGATTAAACTTAATAAGGTTTGGATCGAGGACAACGTCGTGATCTGGCTTTTGAATTTGATCAAATATTTTGAGATAACAAGGATTCGCCAGACGGTATCGAATAATGAAATTCTTTATCCTCGTCCTCGATCCTGGTTCATTGTATACTTTTATTAAATTGAAAAACGTATTTTTCTTGTTAATTGAAATTTTCACTTTTTTTTTTTTTAAAAACAAAATAATATTTAAACGCGTAATTTTTTAATGTCTCATGATTTTTAATAATCTTAAATTTAGAAAGAAGAATTAATTTTCTAATTGTCTTTTTTTATTGCGCTCAAAAATTTGTTTATTCTAAATAAACAAATAAAGTCAGAGTTCATTATCATTTAAAAAAGTTTAAACAAAATCTAAAACTATTAAATATTCGAGACAACCTTCACGTATCCTCCCTTTATCCAAAACTTTTATTCATTAGTAAAAAAAACTTGTATAAAATATACGAAAATATCAAATTTATTTAGAGAATCATTACATCTTCTTCTGAAACAAAATAAAACGATAGACGACGAAATATCTTTCTTTCTCCAACATCGAGTTCATCAAATTTTAATCTTTCTAAAACTTTTGAAATTAATAATTATAATAACGAAATAAGTAAGAAAACACGCACGAGATTGCATAGATGTGATTTCCACGACGAGTCGCGGCAAGAAATTTTTGCAGGAGACGGAAGTGGAAAGGAAAATTGAAGTCAACGGAATTTTAGTGTTTTTTTTTTTCCCCTATGATTCAATCGCGTATATAAACCACCATCATTCGAACGTAAATCTTAACTTAGGGATCTCGAGGAGAACATCGCTATCTTCTCAATTTAATCGAGGTATAATAGCGCTTTGTGCGAGGGAAGATGAAGGTCTTTGTACTTTTTGCGATTCTCGTCGTTATCGTTTACGTATCTTGCGCAAGTGTTTCTGAAGTTGTTTACGATGAATCGATTTACGAGTTGAGTGAATACTATTTTTTTTTTTTGAACTACGTTTATTTTAATCGTCGAGAACGTTAGAGAGTGTAAAATATTTTTTAGATTTCGTTTTAAAATTTCTTCGAGTAAAGAATAATTAAAAAAAAGATAAATACAACGATTTATCATATCAAATAAATTTTCTTGTATCGTTAAAAGAAAAATGATCGATAATGAAATAAATTAAATAATCGAATTTTTAAAACTGCTATATTTTTTTTTACTAGAATCTAGTAAAAAATTAATGACAAGTTTTAGTACAGACATTATTATCTTGTCATCCTAAAATTTTCTTATTGCCAGTTTTAAAATTTGTTCCTCGAGTAAAGAATAATTAAAAAATAGATACAATGATTTACGTATATTATTTATCATATCAAATAAATTTTCTTGTATCGTTAAAAGAAAAATAATCGAAATAATGAAGTAAATTAAATAATCGAATTTTTAAAACTGTTATATTTTTTTTTACTAGAATCTAGTAAAAAATTAATGACAAGTTTTATTAATACAGACATTATTATCTATTGTATCTATCTTTTAATTATTGTTTACTCGAGAAACAAATTTTAAAACGAAATCTCATCCTAAAATTTTCTTGTTTTATTGCCAAAATTAATAATAAATCAATCAATAACATCGAAAACATGAATAAGTTAAAATCAATTAAAAATAAGTTACATAAATTAGATAAACGAATAAAATCCAAGATTTGAATTTTTCACTAGGACAAATTGAGGAAGAAAATATAGAACCAGATACAGAATTGATAGATTCCAACGAACCGCTACTACTACGACATCGAAGGGTAACGTGCAACGTTTTATCGTGGCAATCAAAATGGCTGAGCATTAATCATTCAGCCTGCGCTATCAGATGTTTAGCTCAACGACGTAAAGGTGATAGTTGCAGAAATGGCGTGTGCATCTGTCGAATGTGAATCGTTCGAAAATTGATTGTATCGATCTGTTCATCTTGAAACAATACTTTCCATTATATAATGAATAAAATCATTTTTTAAAATATTCCATAAATATACTTTGTATATCATAATCGATTAAAAGAATCATTTTGTGTTTTGTTAGATTTTTAAAAGTAAAGGAATTTTTTCAATTTCTTTTAATAATTTTTTTCTTACTCGCTTACCGAGTATTGTAATGTTCAGTGTGCTTAGACACCCATAAGAGCTTTTTATTCTTCAAATTGTTTCCCCTCCTTCAAGGATAATCTGAAAAAGAGATAAGAAATTTATTAGAAAAATAAACGACAAATATAGATAACATTATTTATAATAATTTTTATCAAAATCGAGAATGTACAAGTTTCTCGATGATGCTGAAATTAAATTTTCAAACAATTTATTTGTTTATTTCAATTTTTAAATCGTGGACATTCGGTTGATTAATTGATTAATTTTTTTTAATATATTAATACATTTCGCTTTTCCATAAATTAAATAAACTGGAAATTGGAAAATCTGTATGTCGATGCACGACACATTCGCGATACTTAATATTATTACACATCCTGCCATATTTCGAACAGATATCCTCGCAAACAGATGTACACTAATTTATCTTTGATCCGGATAATTGGATCAGCTTCAAAATGGTGGAAACATATCGACAAAATATATTAAGATCATTGAAGTTGATTAATAATCACATATATACTTTACTATTTTAAGTATTAATTACAAAATTTTCTTCTCAATTAATATAAAATTTTTTCCATTTTCAAAGCTCTTCGTTTGGTTTTTGGAAATTCTTTCTGTTTAGAGATATATATATTTTTTACTATTTTAACGCATAAATGTTAATTACAAATTTTCTTCTCCTTTTCTTCAATTTAATATAAAATTTTTTCCATTTTCAAAGCTCTTCATTTGGTTTGGAAGTTTTTGGAAATTCCTTCTGTTTCGAGGATATATATATATATATTTTACTATTTTAATACACAAATTAATTACAAAATTTTCTTCTCCCTTTCTTCAATTTATTATTAATATAAAATTTTTTCCATTTTCAAAGCTCTTCATTTGGTTTGGAAGTTTTTGGAAATTCCTTCTGTTTCGAGGATATATATATATATATTTTACTATTTTAATACACAAATTAATTACAAAATTTTCTTCTCCCTTTCTTCAATTTATTATTAATATAAAATTTTTTCCATTTTCAAAGCTCTTCATTTGGTTTGGAAGTTTTTGGAAATTCCTTCTGTTTCGAGGATATATATATATATCTTTTACTATTTTAATACACAAATTAATTACAAAATTTTCTTCTCCCTTTCTTCAATTTATTATTAATATAAAATTTTTTCCATTTTCAAAGCTCTTCATTTGATTTGGAAGTTTTTCTGTTTAGAGGATATATATATATTTTACTATTTTAATTACAATTGTTAATTACAAAATTTTCTTCTGCCTTTCTTCAATTTATTATTAATATAAAATTTTTTCCATTTTTAAAGCTCTTCATTTGATTTGGAAGTTTTTCTGTTTAGAGGATATATATATATTTTACTATTTTAATTACAATTGTTAATTACAAAATTTTCTTCTGCCTTTCTTCAATTTAATATAAAATTTTTTCCATTTTTGAAGCTTTTCATTTGGTTTGGAAGTTTTTGGAAATTCCTTCTGTTTAGAGGATATATATATATATTTTACTATTTTAATACACAAATTAATTACAAAATTTTCTTCTCCCTTTCTTCAATTTAATATAAAATTTTTTCCATTTTCAAAGCTCTTCATTTGGTTTGGAAGTTTTTGGAAATTCTTTCTGTTTAGAGGACTATTTTAACGCACAAGTGTTAATTACAAAATTTTCTTCTGCCTTTTTTCAATTTAATATAAAATTTTTTCCATTTTCAAAGCTCTTCATTTGGTTTGGAAGTTTTTGAAAATTCTTTCTGTTTAGAGTATATATATATATTTTATCGACGCCTTTGAAGTCTAAATATAAAGCTTGTTTCCACGGTGCCACTAATCCGTGACAAATCGAGCAAAGTAGAGGTTGCATTTCATCGAATCAAGCAACGTTTGACGTATACAACAACGTGATGTGTACAACAACTCGTACATCTCTGAAATTTCGACGGCTTTGATGTTTAACGCCAAACGCACAATTCTCGGCACAATGTTGGCATCATTGGAATTAGACTATTTCTTGTTTCAAATCTCCTCTGTATAAATTTTCATGTCGAAAATTTCTAAATTTCTAAATTAAAGTTTGCAACATCTTCGAATTTGTTTTTTTATTGTTTAATGCCATATAAAAAAATAATAGAATTTTTAATAATAAACGAAGTTTAAATATTTTTCTTTTCAATTTTTATCGTAAATTGAACAAGATTAAAGAATGTGATAATTTTATTTTAAAATATTATAAAATATAAATCATAAGATTTGATTTTAAACAAATATTAAGTGATATTTTCGTTTGATTAAAATTTAAATAAATATTGGCTACAAGGGGAAACGATAGATGTGAAATTGGAATAAATAGTGATAAATAAATGAGAATTACCGTAATATGACGGCCTGCATTATCTATTCATTTTGGCGTGGCCGCCAAGTTAAATTGAAATTCACGTATTTACAGAAAGTAATATCCTCCTCTAAATGACTGTTAAAATGATCAACAGAAATGGGGTACGTCACTCAGAATTTTCAATTTGCGGGGATGAAGTTGAAGAACAGTTGAACTCTTCGAGTTTATCTTTTTCTTTCTTTTCTTTCTTTTCCTTTTTTTTTTTACAAATCTTGTAAAACTTTTACAAGAGAAAAAAGAAAATGTACAAATATCGTCAATCGTTCCTCCTGTTGTCACTCCATTGTTGTTGACAATTTATTATTCATCGAAAAAAGAAAAAAAGAAAATTTATTATATTGATAATAAATTTATAATAATAATGATAAATTTATAATAATATTGATAATATTATTATATTCATTAATATTGCGAAAGATTGACTGTACATTCTCCCCCCCCAGTTTAATAAGTAATAACAAATTTTCTTCATTGCGACGAAGCAATGAAGATCGGGCGTAAATCGAATAAGTAGTATTACTCGATAACTAATCAGCCAACAAGTGCTTCTCATAGATCGACTATTATCACTTACAATAGCGATAACTTCTCGAACAAAGTACAGGTGACAAAGTGAAGGATTATTATTTCTTTTAACAGCAAAATAAATTGATCCTTTAACCTCGTTTCCTCCCCCTTACCCTTCCTCTTACTCACTTTTGTCAATTTATTCGAACTTTGCAATTTACTTCGCAACTGTCCCCAACTACGTGCATAATCATAAGTCACGAATTCGACCAGCACGGTTAAAGTTTTCAATTCAATTCCCTGCAAAACTTTCCAAGATTTTTTTCCAAAAGTTTCGTAAGAAATAAATGATAATCTGTTTGCAATATTAAATTAAAAAACCCTTTCTTTTTTTGTTTAATCCAAAAATCTATCCGAATATTTAATAATTGATCAAATATTTAAAATTACACCGTTTACTTGAAAAATTTAATTCAATAATAAAAAAAAATTACATAAATTGAAAGTACGAGAGTAGAGAGGAGGAAAAGAATAAAATTTTCCATCCAAGAGGATTGTTCTCGATTATTGCAAAATTCAGGTAAAGGAGAAAGAAAAAAAAAGGGAGGGGGGGAGGCGATTCGAACCTGGGCCTCTGTTCCAATCAATCGACTACACTCGAATGCGATTCCTTGAAAGATAAGATCGAGTGATATCCAATAAAGCAAAGACCTGGTGAGTGCAGCTTTAGATAGTCTATCGATCGTGGCTCGCGACCACGGTTCACCCTTACAGGTACAAAGTTAAAGCGAGTTCTATGTCACTTCTTATTTTTTATTTTTTCAATTTTCCTTTTCTTTTCTTTTTTCTTTTTTATCGAATTCGATTTCATAAACTCATGCCATTGAAAGGAACGTGTGTCAACATCGAGTTTTCGAGTTATCGAAAGGGAATCTTATTAAAACGAGTTCTATGTCACTTCTTATTTTTTATATTTTCAACTTTCCTTTTCTTTTCTTTTTTATCGAATTCGATTTCATAAACTCATGCCATTGGAAGGAACGTGTGAACAAAGATATAATAATTGTGTAATTAATTTCCTCTATTTCTCTTTTTTCATAAAATTAAATTGTATAGAGGAGTTAATGTTCTAGTTTCTAGTAAATTTTATGGGGGATAATATTAAATTCCTATGATACTTATGATATAAATAGCTCTATTGGAATTTTTGGACTTCGAGTTTTCATCTTTATTACGTTATATTACTACATTAACCTTGTACTCTTTTTAAATTCTACTATAATATATATATTATTTAGAATAATTTAAAAAAATTTTCTATTATAATATTAATATACATACACGCAAGAATATTCACTTAAGAATAACTTTGCTCTTGAGAGATTAACTTATGACACTTATGAATCACTCTGCATATAATAAAACTTGCTAATCTTAGACCTTACGACTCCCTCGTGCGTACAACCGATGCTCACACGTGTAATCTTTTACATCACACCACGATGCATTTTGACGTCACCCGTTGTTTGCAATATCCGACGGTTGAAACAACCCTTCGTGACGTCATATGTAAAGGAGAGAATGTACTCGGCTAGGCTATTTCTAGACCTCTTGTATTACCATTAATATTTCTGAAAAAAGAAAAACCACGCGATCCCTTCAAGACCCAAGTTACTTCATTCTCCCGTGATAAGTATTTATTACGTGTCAAGTGAAACTTGGCAACACGGCGAGAAAGAAAATGGCCGCGAAATTTTTTCGAAAGGGTTTTTCAAGCGAGAAGAAATCGTCGCCTCGATAACTCAAACTTTCCTCCTTTTCGATTCTTTGCGCAAAGTATTATCCGAGTTAAGAATATTAAAGTTGGTCGTAATTCGTTTCCAGAGTGGAAATGGATGGAAGTCTCCGTATTTTCGATTCGAGGTGGCAATGTTAAATCGCCGTTAATTATTCCAGCAAATTTCTTCCAGATTAATATATTGAGAGTTAAGTTTGAGCTTTTGCTCTCTCCTTAATTTCGTTCGTTTTGTTGGTGAAATTATTATTGCGTCGAGTAGATATATATTTCGTTGCACCATGTAAATGAGATTACTTAATAAATTAACTTGTCGTGATTTTGTAATTTGAATAATTTTAATATTTTAATTAATATTTTAATCGATGATAAATGGAAGATGATTTGTGAATTTTATTTTTAATTAAACGATTCAAGTTGTTTCGTTTATAATTATTGAAAATTTTTGCATTACCTGTATTTGCAAAATGGATTAATATTGCACAATAGTTTTAATTAAATAATGCTCTTCGTTTTAATATCTTAATTAAGGGGACAAATATATTACAAAAGAAATTAAATTACTCTACAATTTGATGCACAAATTTCTTATGGTTTAATAAACAGCAATTGAATACCTATGATATTAATTGATCTCTGTACGAGTTCTTTGTACTTTGTAAAACTTATTAAATCAAATTATTTAATATTTAATTTCAACTTACAATAGTTTCATTAAATCGAGATGATTATGTAATTATCGAAATATAATATAACGATTATCAATATTAAAGAGTATGGCTTGTTTACTTCTTTTGACTCATTGCCTCGTAGTGTAATTAAAATCTTTTCATTAAAATTTTGTCTTGAAAAATAAAGTTAAAATCTAATTAATAAAATGACAATAATTGATAATTAATAAGGAAGGTTAATTAATTTACACGAAAATTTAAAATTCAAAAATTCATTTAACCACGCCCTTGAACTAAATTCTAAATTCAAAACACGTGCCACAATAATATATATTTAATATTTCAATTATCGATCCACCGATATTTCGCTCTTTATTAACTTTCCAGCCAAGAAGGGAATTCACTTCAATTTATTATTTGTTATTGTTACGTATCGTCAATATTTTCTCTCGTTAGGAAAATAATCAGGAATGAAATATCGATATCGTTGTTGTTAATGTTACAATGATATTTTATAGATTTTCCTTTTTTTTTTAACGACGATCTTTAATATTTATACTCTCATTGAAATAAACGATAAATTAATTTAACGAGATACAAAATTATCTCAATACTGTGTACTTATATTATTTATGAGTTATATCACCACGAAGATGAGAATTTTTTTCTTATTATTGAAAATTTCATTGTTTTTTAGGTTATATTACGTATCCAACGACACNTCTCATTGAAATAAACGATAAATTAATTTAACGAGATACAAAATTATCTCAATACTGTGTACTTATATTATTTATGAGTTATATCACCACGAAGATGAGAATTTTTTTTTTATTATTAAAAATTTCATTGTTTTTTAGGTTATGTTACATATCCAACGACACGATATCAATATCATCGAATAATGATTTAATTTA